AAGGGTTTTCTTTTCTCTCCCAGTTTCTTGAGTTTATTTGACAGATTCTTATTTCTCTTTTTTTAAATAAATTATTTTTTATGTGATTATTTACTTTATTTTATTCAAATTAATTAATTAAAATTAGTTAAAATATTTAAATTAATAAAACAACATTAAAATTTTATCAATAAGGTACTAAATTAATTATTCTATTGTAATATAAATTAATTTATTAAAGTGTATACTAAACTTTTTGTTTTAGAAAAATATTATTAATGGAAGCAATTAATAAGATGAAAATGATTAATTTTGTTAAACATAATGGTTAAAATGATTGTTAAATAAAATTAACAACATAAACTTAGATATATTATTTATAATATATTTATTAAAGCATGAAACTTAAATTAAAACATAATTGCTTAAAATAATAATTATTTTAACTTAAGATAAATTAATTAATGTGAATTAATTATTGTGAGTTAATTTTGATTGATTTTAAAGTTTTATACAAATATATCATTTTGCTAAATATGTATATATTGAATTTGAGTTAAATAATATTTAATATTAATTGTCAAAACTAGCATAGTACAGCGGTAAATATTGACATATATCTTCAACATGAGTTTGTGAGTTCAATCCCCCACCCCACATGTTTACTAAAAAAATATTTAATATTAATTATTCAATTGATTATTGTGCTAAATTGTCAATTTAAAATTTAGAATGTTAATATAAAATAATTTATATTTATATTTTTTATTTTTTGATTTAAATTTGATTTGTTATTAATCAAGGTTTACAATGACATAAAATGCATATTTCTAGAGTAATCACACAAAATAAACGTATATATAATTTATTTTCAGAGATTTTAATCCGAGACATCTTAATCCCGAACATATATACAACCAAACACAGCTATCTTTATTTCTCAGACATCTTATTCCCGAGTATCTTAATCACATATACGGCCCCTAAGAAAGAAAGGGTAAAAGTAGAAAAGTCAGTAAACGTGTGGGACCCATGGAATAAGGAATGAGAATGAGATTGATTACGGTGTAGGAAAGAAATTAGATTTCTCATTTTTAGGGAATGAGAATGAAAAAATTGTATGGGTCCCACCTTCCCAATTCCCTAGATGTAAACATGACGTTAGAGGCCGTTTGGTTGAATGTTTTAAGGGTGGGAATGGGCTTGGGCATATAAAAGCCACGTTTGGTTGGAAGATTATAATTTGTTTGCCTGGGAATACTCTTTTTCCACGCATCATTAATAGGCTAAATCAAAGATAAGGAAGCCCGTGGAAAATGGTAGGTTTGTTGAAAATCCTTCTCTCTCTCATATACATTGCTATTTTTTTTTTATTTCTCTCCCTCTACTCTTCTTTTTGTACTGTTATTTTAATTTGAGATGAAATTTATTCTATGCTATTATCTTTTCCTTTGTTCTTTTGGTTATTTTCGGACAAACTTTTTTTTATACGAGAAAACCACTTGATAAGAACCGCAACTACATCCCTTAACACATGAAAATGCTCAAGACAAATGGTTGTAAAATTGTGAGTAGTTGAATGAAAACATCCACTAAGCACCAAACATTACTCAGCTCACAAAATATAATAAAAATAAAAATCCTTCAGTAACAACCGGTCATTTCATCTAGGTTCTCCATCGCTTAAATGTTGCTGGGTACATGAATACTCTGACTCTGTAACCCATGAAATTTGGTGGCAGATTTCATGGGTGACATATTTTTCTTCTTCCTTCGTCGGTGAGCGCTGAAAGTGAGAGAGAGGGAGTGGTACGGTTGTATTGCATATTTTTTCCTTGTTGCAGGTTACTGAGAGTGGTGGGTTATCTTAAAGCAAATTTGCAGCTGTATTATTGAAGGTTAGAATTTATGATGTGATTTTGAACATTTTGTTTATCATGCATTGATGAAATACTTGATGGAGCATAATTATAAATCTTTTATCATCTAATTATAGATATGGTTTTGAACATTTTATTTATTATGCAGATATGACTCACACATCTTCCCCTAAAACAACAAATTCTTATTATCCTGTTGTCCTATTTAGAGATGCTAAAGCAAATGATGAAAACATGTTTCCTATTGGTAGTAATTCTAATGTATAGAGGACAAACCCAAACAAGACTTATGGGTGGAAGTTCTTTCTATAGACACCGAATTAGACAATTAAACTTTTTTCGTCTAATACATGAGAGCGATTTAGCATGTTTTGAGACTACACGTATGAATAGGAAATGCTTTAATAAAAAGTGATTGTCTAACGATAATTAATTATTTTAAATTAGTTAATGTAAATTAATTGTTGAAAGTAGATTCTGATAGCACAACCAAACACAGGTATCTTTCATTTCCAGGTATCTTATTCCCAGACATCTTATTCCATAATCTTTTAAAAACCTTGAGTCGAATGGTCCTTTAAAATATAATTTTGAGACGCTATCCGAGTTGTGAATTATACATGGAAGGAAATCAATTAGTGGGATCAACCCAAACTCGCGAAGCATTCTTCTAAAAAAACGTAATCTAATTCTTGTTCTACAACTTTATCCATTAGTTTCCCAATTATTTTCAATAATTACTTTATAACTTTTACTCATCCTCTAACGAGATCTATAGCTTTTTAATTGTTTTACAATTTTACTCTTTCTTTATTTATACTATTAACAAATTTTCATATAATAAAGAGTTATACCATTTTTATTTTTATAAATTGATGTAATTTTATTATAAAATATTACAAATTTCTACTTAATTTATCAATTATTATAAAATATTACAAATTTATACTTAATTTACCAATTATTTAATTTTACTATGTTATTATTAATTAATATCAGTAGAATTACCCAACCCTAATAAATTATATTAAATATTATAACAATAAATAATATTTTATATTAATGATGGTGGTTCATGAATGAATGTACTTTTATTTTGATTATTAATTATATTAAATAAATTGTTAAAACAAAAATATTATCATCAATAAAATAGTAATATAATAAATTAAAATTTATTGTTGTTTTAATTAAAAATAATATTAGTATACCATATTAAATATATTTGCAATTAGCTAGAAATAAAAAAATAGTATATATTATAGTAATTTTTACATGTCCGAAACAGTTTCGAATCTAGAAAATTTTAGTAAATGACTTAAATAATTTTCTGATTTTGATTCTTGAAAAAATTACTAGTAAGTAACCTCGAATAAATAACATTCCTATTTCGATTGGTTTTATTCTTATTCCTAATAAGTAAATAGAGTCTAAAATCATTAGGTATGGACTTGGTATTAAAGAAAAAAAATAAATAAATAAAAGGGAAACAAAAGGGAAATTACAAAAAAAAAAAAAAAAACAAAAACAAAAGATGGGAGTCAAGGTTTGAAGAATGAGATTTATTCATAAATTGAATATTATTTAAGAATACACCCTCTTTTTGCCTCGAAGTTTCCCAACACAAATTTTGTCAACAAAAGTTTCCTACATTGAATTGAATTTGTCAACCCCATAACAAACAAAAACATGTGTAATATCTATACTTCTTTATATTGGGTTAATCGTCTCTAAATTTTTAATATTATTATTTTATTGTAATTATCTCAAACTTTTAAATTGTTTATGCTCAAATTTTCAAGTTTATTATGTCTTTGTTATGGCATGTATTGTTTTAATTAGTCTATAAATGTTTTTAAGAAACAATTATTTTGGTCTTTATTAGTTAGATTAAGTTATAAGTTTGGTTATTGGATTTTGAGGAGGTTGGGTATATAATAGGTCTATGAATTTTAAAAGTGTTTAATAAATACTTAAATTTATAGTTTTATGTCTAATGGGTCCTCAAATTTTGAAAAATATCTTATAAATCATTAGACAAAATTTTAAAGTTTTCAGAGTCTCATTAGAAACTAAATTGAAAGATTTTTTTGGGTGCATAGATCTATTAGATATTTTTTAAAGTTTAATAACTTATTAGACACAATTTTTAAAGTTTAGGAACCAAACTTATAATTTAACCTATTGGTTACTTTGATTTCAATCAATAGATATTGTGAATTCGAGTATATTTATTCTACGTGTTGTCATAAACATGTATTTGAGCTGCAAAGTTGGTTAAGATAAGTATTGGGTAGATAGATGTTAAGTGAGATACTAATATCAATGAGTAAATTTATTATTTTATTTATCTTTTAATATTAAGGTGTTAAAATAGACAGGTTGAAAGTTTAGGAATCAAAACAGTTAATTTTTGTGAAGTGTAATGATTCAAGTAAACATTTTAGAAACTCTGGGACAAAAATGATATTTTAACAAAAAAAAAAAAGAAAAAAAAAGCTTACGTAACCTATAAATTTCAAGAATTTTAGTTACATCATTGAATATTAAATTGCGTTTATATCTAGCAATCTAATATGAATCTTTTTCTTTTTTCGTTCGAAAACTTTAACCACCATATTAGTTATTAGTATCGTAATTAACTAATTAAACTATATTCAAATCGACAACATAATTAAATACTATGTTTTAATCTTGAATAGTTGTGCTTTTTTCAGTTTATTTAGATAATTTAATTTAATTCCTCATTTTTAAAATGTTCACAGGTATATCCTTTTATTAGTGATAAATTTAAATATCATGAGACATAGTGAAGATAAAAATTTATAAAAAAATTAAAACCACCTAAAACAAAAAAAGTTAGAAAATCTTGTCAACTTGAACTTTTATTACTAAGTATAATGTCACGTAATTCAACCCATTTAACATTATAAATAAAAAATATTGGTTAATATTTTTTTTAATCCTTATATTTTTATTGAAGAAAGGATTTAGTCTTTTAAGTCTAATTTATAACGATTTATTCTTGATTAATTTTTTAATGATAAAAGAAGTATCTACGAAAAAGAGAAGGGAACAGAGATATGGTTGCATTTTGCAGAGTCAGCCATATGCTTTGAAGTTTGAAGAAAAGAAACTCCAAAAGAAATCTATGGTCAAATCAAAAGCACTCAAAAACCGCGGAGTCTTTTTTTCTCTCTCTAGAAACCGTCGATCAGTTCCTTAAAAGCGCACCTTCTTCCCCCAAATTTCTTTCTCAACTCCAAATTCTCACACGCAAGAATAAGCCTAATCCTAATCCTAATCCTAATCCTTATCCAGATCCAGAATCAAGATCATGAATGATCAAGATCAAGAACACGAAGAGGACTATTTCGATCGTCTTCCCGACGCGCTTCTTCTTCTGATCTTCAACAAATTGATCGACGCTCGGTCTCTCCTTCGCTGCCTCGCCGTCAACCGCCGCTTCGGTTCCCTCATTCCGCACTCCGACGCCGTTTTCCTCGCCATTCCTCGTCCGCTGCTCGATCACAAGGGGAAGTCCGCACTCCGTCGCCATTCGCCGCAGAGTTCGCTCAGGTACTTCTTTCGTAAGTTCGTCTTTACGCCTATTCGCTTCCTCCGCCGCGCGATTGCTCGTTCCTCGCCGCCGCCGAGTTCCGGATTTGGCGACTGGTACCACTGGCCGAGCGCTGCGTTGAGGGAGTTCGGAGGAATTAAGTTCGTTCACATGGAGCTCCCTTGCTGCGGCGGCGAAATCGGCTCCGATCACGGCGGCGATCCGCTGCTCAAGTGGAAGGCGGAGTTCGGTACCGAATTGAAGAGTTGCGTCGTTCTCGGAGCGTCATCTTTACGGCGGAGATCGATTGCTCCGTCTAATTCAGACGCCAAGGAAACAGGAGAAGAACGCGTAGATGCAGAATCTGAATCGGACATTGGAGACGAAGAGCTTAAGCTACGAATCGTATGGACGATTTCAGCCCTAATTGCCGCTTCCATGAGACATTACTTCGTAAAACAAATGGTTTCCGATTTTCCGATGCTGCAGAGCGTGGTGATTACGGATTCAACAAAACAGGGGAGGCTCTGTATGAGAGAGAAGCAACTCACCGAACTCAGAGAATCGATGAAATCTTCCGATTCGATTCAATCTCGAGTAGAGAGGACAGTGATTCCAGATCTGAACATGAAGATGTGGCATGTACCGGTGCTGGATCTGCCGGCCTCCGGCTTCGTGATGACGGCGGCGACTCTCATCGTCATCCGGCCGACTGCAGCAGGTACGGAGTTAGAAGGACTAGACACAATGGGAGACGATTTTGATGCTGAGGAAGAGGAAAAACTCGGAGCATATGGTGAAGCTGTGAAAAAAATGATGAAGTTGAAAAGAAACTACGTCTTGGAGGTAAATTCTTTCTGATTGTAATGTAAATTAAAGAATTAGAGTAGATAGAACCATACAAATTCGTTCCACGTTTTTGGATTGTAGAAAAATTACTGTAAATTCGGGTGAGGTTTTTAATTCAATTTCTGTAGTTTAGATTCTTTTGGGCATTCAACCTTTTTCGTTTCGGTGCTCAAGGACAGGGGAGCTGATCCGATTGGTTGTAAAATTTTGCTTCCCATTTAATTTGGTGATGTGTAAGAGAAAGTAGAGAGAATGTTTCACTTTCTTCTAAACTTTACTTTATTATCGTAACTTTACAATCTAAATACAAACTCCTCGAATCTAGACATGTTGGTGATAAATTTATCCAAAAAAAAGAAAAAGAAAAAATCTTTCTTTAATTGATGCGCTGTGTTGCATTATAGGATGCGGTAAGGGATGCACTAAAAACTACACTAAAGTTGCGCTAAAAATATGCTATATATATTGGTATAGCTATTTTAACACGACATATGACGGAAATAGAGCGACAACCCATGCACTAAATAGCGTAGCTGGCACTATAGAGCAGCCAAGCTCATGACCGGCATATAGCGGCGGGGAACCCACATAAGAATTGTACTATATTGGGCAAGTGTGCGCTAAAATAGTGCAACCAACGCTATAGTGCTACACCGCTTTAGCGCAGCCAAGCACGGGTGCGACCTATGCAATAGTGTTGCCCACCTTTGATGTGGCTAGCTTAATGCATGTGCTTTTTTACGAACTTTCCGCAAGCACTATAAATTTGTAAGAGATGCAACCCTTGAAAGGTAGGTCATCGAGCCACTTTTGACTTCTCTCCTCTTAAGTTCATATACTGATTTAAGGATCGGAGTATGGTAGGCCGACGTGGTCGCCTTCTCCTTTTATAGGTCGCTTTCGCCTCAATTTCAAAAGCCAAGATCTCGTAAAGACTATCAACTCCTTATCCCGTTGCAGAATTTTTGTCTTATTTTAGAAAGAGGGCGGATTCCTCGAAAAGTTAAGGATTCCACTCTCTCGGTCTTCCAAACAACAAGATCTCGTCCTTCCCCTGCTCGCAACTTATCGAGTCTCGGCTTCTCCTAGCTAGACTCAACATCTCCTTGATCCCTCAACAGTCGATCAGGTCCACATAACTCCTGGTTCGACCAACTTCCCAAAAATTGAATCAACAAGACGAACTCATAATATTTTGATAATTTAATCAACGTAGTATGATGATTCTAACCTTTTTAAATATACTTTTTATTCTTTAATTATATTTAACATAGTTAATGTCTAACTAACTTGTATCCAAGATTTAAACCTCAACGGTTTAAAAGGTTATCAATGGTGGAACTGGTCGAGTTATAATAATGTATAAGTCAATCTAAATTTAATGTAAAGTGTACTAATACTCGTGTATGTAGATGGAGAGTGATTGTACTTAAGTATGAGACGAACTTGATGGGTACGTACTATTTTATACAAGCCATGGAGATTATATTTCAACACATGTGAAAGGTAGAAATTTGAACATCTAACTTGAATATAGATTAAATTATATATTTAATAGAACTCTAACTTCTAATTTTGTATCTAACAAGTTTCTTAACATTAAAAAGTGTCTAAATGTTCTTAAATTTTTTATTTTGTGTCTATTAGATCTCTAAATATAATTTTAATTTTTGTATTATCTAATAAGTTTTTGATCTAATCAGCATTTTTTAAATTCGCGAACTTATTAGACATAAAATTAATTGAAAGTTGAGAGTCTTGTTAGGTACAAAATTGTATTTTATGTTGAATATGTTAGGAATATATTAGATATAAAATTGATGATTAAAATTGAAAGTTAAGAAATCTATTAGGCATCACTAAAGTTAAGAGACTTATTAGGTACAAACTTAAAAATTTAGAATTGAACTTGTAATTTAACATAAAGTTTACAATACTTATGTAATGCCCGACTAGAGAGGAGGGGTACATGAATGAACCAAAGAAATGATAGTTACTACCTATACTAACAAGGTGCATCTTCCTTTTCGGTAACTCAATTGTAAGAACTCTAAAGTTAAGCGTGCTTGACCTGGAGCAATCTACGACTACCTCCTAGTTGATTTACTAGGAAGCATGTGAGTGAGGATAAAGCATACGCTCTTCTAAGTAGCTCAGAACTAGACAGTAACGCGACTGGGTCGCAAGATATGTAGGGGATGTCGGGGAAATGGAAGTAGTAGTTGTAATCCTAATTAATTTTTAAAAAGATAATTCAGGTGGGTGGCTAAAATTGGACACCGATTTTAAAAAATGTCCATGCAGAAAGAGCTCAACTACTTAGATTTAAAAATATGATGATATTCCAAATTTGCCCTTAAATCTATTTTTATCTCTTCTCATTCGAAATCACCTAACATAGATTTGAACGAACCTCTTATTTTATTGATTTGATTTTATATTCCCATTCTTCCAAGCTTTCCCCTCTGCAACGACCAATTGATTGTGGATGATCTCTCATTCTTCCCAACTCTTCGTTACAACGATGCATGAAGTCTCATCTTTCGAAGCTCTCCCCTCGACATTAATCGCATTTCTATATGATGGTAGTTGAGACCAAAACAAATCACTCAGACCACTACTTTTAGGGTGTTTGAGATGACCTGTTTTAGTATATGTAGCTTCCTACACGTTAGGTCTTGTCATGATTGCAAAAGTTCCATAGTATCTACTACCCTTGACTTGGACATGGACTGTGGTTAGTCTTATTCAATTTTCCTTCTATCTACTTCTCTCTCTACCTCCCATTTTTGTTGGGGTTTACAACTTAGCCCCTGAACTTACTTTTCCCATCTCTTCCCCTCAAGTTTTTTGTTATAGGTCACGATTGTGCTCACAAATCATTTTTAGTTGTGGAAGACATTGCAGGCATTGTCTTTGTAGATATCAACATTTATCCATAAATAGAAATGCGACACTAGTGCAGACCACTGTAGATATTTACATTGACCCCCAAAATGGAACTGCGACACCAATGCATACCACTATAGATATCGACATTGACCCTAGAAATGGAAGTGCGACACCAATGCAGATTACTATAGATATTGATATTTACCCAATAAATGGAAGTGCGACTCCAATGCACGCCACAACTCACCATCAACGCATAAAAGGAGGTGCAACACTAGACCACGGTAGATAGTGACATTGACCCCATAAATGAAGTGCATGCAGATCACAATTCACCATAAACTCACCACTAATTATACGTGTATCTATTGATATATACCGTGTGCATACGTTACTAAAGTGATTACTGTTTTGCAAAATGACTTCACATGACAAGGTATGTTGGATTTGATTTGATTTCATAGTTGTATAGACCCATTAAATATATTTACCTATCCCACCTACAAATTTAAAATTTAGATTTTAGATTTTAATTTAGAAATTTGTAAATTTTAAACAGCAGTCAAATTTGAATAATTTTTTATTTATCTACTTTCAAAATATACTTTCAATTTTTAAAATTTGATTATTTAGAGTTGATTCTTTGTTTTTGCAAGTTGTTGTACCAAATAAAATCTCTAAAAATAACCACATATAGTGATAGGGGTATATTTGTCTAAAAGAATATTTAGGATTCTAAAAAAAAAGTCACTTAACCATTTATATAATATTAACAGAAAATTTTGGAGAGGTCCATGTATCCCCTGGACGAGCAGCTTCTCACCTGAGAACAAATGAGTTTGCAACCAGAAAACTCGATTTCGGTCTAGTGTCCCACCTGTAATTGGAGTAGAAAATAGGAAAAGACACCTTAAGTATTAGTGATATGTTTTTCACTTACTTGGTGAGAGTGAGAGTCCTTCCTTATATGGGCCTAGGAGGTCGACTGGGAAGGACGATGATTGGGATGGCAGGGGCGCGCCGTGAGGTACGACGTTTGCTGAGAGCGTACGTTCCCGACAACAGGCGATGGTGCCCTCGCTTGCAGGCCTGCAGCCTATCGCCTGCTGTCGGGGCTCGATGTACTACCCGTACTTGGATGAACGGAAAGGCGTATCCCTGCCATCGCAGCGTACGGTGTGTAACCATCTACGATCTCCACTTCTTAGAGGTGGACACGCGTTCTGCTCGATTTTACCCTCAACATATAATAATCAATATGTTTGACTAAGAACATCTTATTTATTTTGGCTATTAGTATGGTCGTCCGATCTTAAAAATAAGAAACTACAAACAAAATAGTTATCAAATGGGCTAAAGAATACTATTTGTGGACAATAACATTGGAATAGTTAGACCAATGAGAAAAGAGTAGCCCACATATGCTAACTTTTGAGAGAACGTCAGGAAAAGTGTTTTTTTTTTAAGAGACGAATACAAAATATATCTAAAAAAAATTCAATCTTCCATTGGATACAAAATTAAAATTTTTAACCTGGTTTGGTTATAACATTTATTTTACTTATGTATTGTTTCTCATTAACTTGTGCTAATTGTTTCTAATTTTTTTATTTATAAGAAAAGTTTTTAAAATTTCTACACACTAACTTTTAAAAAGATCTAAAATAACAAAATCAAGTTTTTTACTTCTTATTCCCATTTCTACTTTATTTTTTCATAACATAAATAAAAAATCATAATTTTATAATTCTTAACTAAATATAAAAAATTGAATATTTGATTCAAACATTAAATTTAAACTTTTAGAGAATGGGAACACGAAAAACAATTATTAAATATATACTTTTTCAGTTAAAAAGACAAAAAAACCAGAAACCAATTACTCAATATAATTCTATTTTTATTTATTAAAAAGAAAAAAACAAAAAAAAAAATAGAAACAAACAAAAACAAAAAATAAGAATTTTTTTGCTTCGCTCTTGAAAACCTATGAAATAATTTTAAACACATAATCGAAAGTTTAAATATTAAAATTTCCAATTAGATCCACATAATTGGGTACATTAATCCCCATCCTAAATTTATTCTATTAAATAAAAACCTATTTAATGTTGTTGTTTTTTTATTTATTCTTTATTTTTATTTCAACCTATTTAATATTGTTAAGACTTAATTCGACAAAATTCTAAAAATTGAAAGAAACCCAATATTAAGAAAGCTTCTGTTTCTCTCCCGTAGGGTACAGAGATTCTGGAAACCGCGGCTCTGCAAAAGCGTGCAGCGGATTCTTGAGGAACAGCTGATCGGACTCCGACAGGTCAATTGCCGCGACGCCCGGCGGCAGCCGCCAGTGAAATGCCTGCACAAGCCTGGCCAAGAGCATCATCGTGATCGCCGTCCCCAACGTGCCGCCCATACACCCTCTCCTCCCGCGCGTGAACGTAATAAACCGCAGATCCGGCTCGGCCAGCCCTAAATCGACCGACGAATCCCTCAGATGGCGATCCGGATCGAACCGCGCCGGATTGGCCCAAATCCTAGGGTTCCGGCCGAGGCCGAGGCGGCTGAGGAGGATGTGGCTGCCTTTGGGAATGAAGTACCCGGCGACGGCGGCGTCGGCGGTGGCGATGTGGGGGAGATTGAACGGCGCGATTGGGTGGAGGCGGAGGGCTTCTCGGGCGCAGGCGGTGAGGAATTTTAGGGAAGGGAGATCAGATTCTTGGACGAGGCGGCATTTTCCGACGACTGTGTCGATTTCGGCGGCGGCTCTGCGGAGGATTTCCGGTTGATTGAGCATCTCCGCCAGTGCCCATTCCACTGCGTTCGATGGGTTGTCCACTGTTGCAAGCAGCAGTTCCTGCCATTTTTATTTTTTAAGAAGAGAAAAAATAAAAAGGTATAAATTTTATTTTTTAATTATTATTATTTATTTTGTTTTTGTAAAATTTCAGACTTTTTCTATATTTAAAAATACACATTTTATTTTTATCCTATTTGTGGTTAAAATACTATTCTGGGTACTTGCACTTTTAGCCTAACAAACTTACAAACTTGTCTTGCCACCATTAAATATTTGACAATTAAGTGAGAGGAATGAAAAAACAAAAATGTAATTTAAAAGTGATTATTTTAGTCCATTTTTACAAAATTTTAATGCAAATCTTACACCTAACGAAAACTCTTTTGTATAAAGTAATGTTTATATTTTAAGAAATATATTGATGATAGAGTCGTGTTGAAATTATGATAGAAAAAATGAGATTAAGAATAAAATTACGGGACCAAAATAGTTCTTTTAAAAAAAGTACAAGAACCAAAATATATAATAGAGATTAAAATGAATTACAGTTGAAGATATAAATGCCAAAATGAATATTTTAAAATTACAAATATTTTTTTTTATTTAAACAATTAAAAACTAGATATATTTTTTAATAATTGTTATTTGTTTCCACAAGTATGTATGATAACGTTTATTTTTTAATTTAATTGATTGATAACCATTTTGGGTTGACACAGTGTCAAAGTGTCCAACGTAAATCCTATAGAATTGAGAATTACCTTCCCTATCTTAAGAGTTATTTTTAATTATGTAGGCCAATTTAGGAGATCTAGGAGAATTTACGAGGATTTGTGATTTGAGGACATTAATCACAATAATCAAAATAATTTTAATGCTAAACTAAAAAAAAAAAGCAGCTTAGAAACCAAAACCAAATCTATGAACATGATATTGTTTGAGAATTCTTACAGTGATCTGTGCTTTAATTTCCTCGACAGACAACAATGGCTCCCCATTGTCACCCTCAAGTGAGATGAAGATATCAAGCATGTCTTCAGGCTCCCTCCTCTCCCCATTCCTCCATTGTTGAACTCTCTCGTCGATGATCGGTTCTTCATACTTTCTAATAACATTCAAAGCTTTCTCCACAACCCTCCCATGGCCATCCAAATCAAACACCTTCAGAATCGGCACGTAATCCGATAT